AGGGCGGGACGGGGGGCACTCACTGCTGCACCCCCCCCGCACCCCCAAATCCCCCCCAAGGGTGGCGGCGCCGCCCCCACCTGCAGCGCCCGCTCGTTGCTGGGGCCGCCGGCGGCGCCCAGCATCCCGCGCTCCTTGCGCCGCCGGAACTTGCGGAAGTAGTCCTGGATGAGGAAGGTGGCGTAGAACTTGCCCACGGTGACCTCCTCCTCTGCGGGCAGGGCTCGCGTGAGGGGCGCCCGGACGCCGGGGCCCACACCGGGGGCTGGGGGGGGGGTGCAGGGCTCACCCTCGGGCGGCGGGATCACCTCGTCCAGCAGCTTGGGCTTCGTCCGCTTCCAGATCTTCTTGACCACCGCGCGCAGCTCCTTGTTGGCCACGTCCAGGTTCCCTGCAGYGCCCGGGGGTCACCCCAAACCCTGCCACGCCCCCCCCCAACCCCCCGGCTCTGCCCCCCAACCTTCCGTCTTGATCTTGAGCGAGGTGCGGACCAGGGCGAAGAGCGTGGCGTTGAAGGTGACGGTGCCGTCCGAGTTGAGGGGCATGTTCATGGCCACCAGGCGCTGGGGGGGCACCGGGGGGGTGAGTACAGGCGGGCACCCCCCTGGCACCCGCCCCGGGCGCCGCTCACCTTGCAGGCCACGCGGTGCGGGCAGAGCTTGCCGAAGCCGAGCGGCGGCTGGATGCGCCGCAGCAGCGTCACCACGTCCAGGTGCTTGATGCGGCCCCTGCGCGCGGGGCGGCGGGGTGAGCGCCGCACAGGCGGAGGCAACACCCGCACCCCCCCGCCCACAACACCCCAACAGCCCCACCTGGCAGCCGGGTCGTACTCGGACCAGACGCGCTTGAACTCGTCCAGGTGGTGGGGGCCCAGGATGGACCAGTCCCGCGTGAGGTAGTCGAAGTTGTCCATGATGACGGCCACGAACAGGTTGATAATCTGCGGGGGCCGTTGCTAGGGCAGCGGGGGGAGCGCGAGGGGCCTGCGGGGCTGAGGCTGGTGGTGCAGGGGGGCACCCTGGGGCGCAGCGGGGGCACCCTGGGGCGCAGGGGGCTGCGGGGGGCGCACCAGGAAGGCGCAGAGCATGAAGAAGCTGATGAAGTAGACGATGGCGAAGTTGCTGCCGCACGTGAACTCCTCGCCGGGGCCCGCGTCCGACTCGGGGTCGCAGCGCTTGCCGGGCAGGCTGGCCAGCATGATCTCCTGCCAGGCCTCGCCGGTGGCGCACCTGGGGGCGGGGGTGTCGCCGGGTGTC